CTCCAGTTGTAAACCCAATGCATAATGCATGTGATAATGAAGGCCCCTATGCATAAAGCAACAGACATATCTCTTAATATGTACTTTTATTGTATATAAATACAAATCAAGAGAAATGTTACTACTGGATCCAAGCAAAGGCAGTACTGCTGGGATGGGTTTTTATATAGAGAAAACAAAGCTGGTTTGCTGGTTTGCTGGTTAGCTGGTTCCTGGTGGTGAGGCAGACAGATAGAACTAAGATAATAAGAGAGCTGGGTAGCTTGGCCGCAGATGGGAGAAGAGAAAATTAAGGAGGGGAAAGACTGCTATTGTATGCATCTCAGAGTCTCTGGGGGACTACTTAAATAGAGAAAGCTTGGAGTTACAACTAGTTTATAAAAATAATATATATATAAGCTTGCTATCTTTGCTTTTCTGTAGTTGGTTGCTCAAAGGGCTCTATAAGTGATTGGAAATAAGATAGAATAGATAGAATAATGTTGTCTGGAGACTGCCCCGCCCATTATTCGTGTGAACCAGTCTTATATTAAAATGTGAGGGGAGTAGAGTTTTATTAAGGCTTGCATGACAAAGGAATGTGAAGCTCACAGGATGCTTCCGGCCAGCTGATTCCTTCGGTTGTTAGCCAGCTTGTTGTTTCTTGACTACACAGACCCCATGTTCCATGAATTAGTTAAAAATCTCTTAAAATAAAAGGCTAAACTGTTTGTATCTTTCTCTATTTAGTCTTAATATGCCTTGACCTCGATTGCTTACCTGTCATTTTAAGGTTTAAAGTACACATAATAAAAAGCTCTGAATTGCATTGCAGGCTTTCTCATTCACGCATTTCGATGGAAAACCGCGGGAGCACGAGGCACAAATAAAGCCTTCTTTAAAGGTTTGTTGTGTAGCAGACCTCTTCCCTAAATTTGAGAAGATAGGGGTTCTAAGGATCTGACTTCACAATATATATATATATATAGCCAACCTTCTTTTTTTTTTGGTAAAAATAGGCAATCTTAGGTCATCACTGGAATCTAATGACTAATGGGTTTCACCAAATTCTTGAATTCCCAATATCCATGATAAATACTCCAATATCTAACTGATGGTGTGCTTTGACTCTCTCTCTCTCTCTCTCTCTCTCTAATTATCTATCTAAATATCTATCTATGGTTTAATTTTTTAAGTGTGCAATGTCTCATGTAAATGTATGTTCCAACCACTGTATATGCTTTAGTTTTGATTTTCCTTGATTATTTACTAAGAGTAGGTAACCTAAGCTAGTATATTGTGCTGATCCGTAACTTGTTTTGACACATAGAGCACCGTCCCATTGAGCCACGGGCTCGACCCAATGCAACAAGTACCAAAAATTTAGGTAGGTCACTGCGCATTATGACCCACCATTGATATTTATATATTAGTGGTGGTATAATTAGTACTTGTCATAGGGGGAGGGTACCCTATAAGACATAGGAGAATGGAATGGAATTTAGAGTGTGGAGTTCAGAGAACACGAAGAGGTGCTTGGGTACCCTATTCTTTCTAACGTTTTTGTAGAAAATCCAAGATTGGGACAAACTACAAAGAGGTGCTTTGGAATTCTAAGGCTCAGAAAAGATTGGCTTGAGTGACTGGTCAATGTTTCCTTCTTTAGTCATTCTATCCACTTCTATCTTAGGGTCAATTATAGAGACTTTTAACAGTGATTTTGGTTGAGTTGGGCTTGCTTTTCCTGATGACACGGATTGCTTAACCGCCTGATGAGGGCTTGGGAAGGTCCCATTGAGCCTTGAGAGATGCACAAAGAAGGACAACTCACATTGGAACCATATGACTGTGACCCATGATGGAAAAATTATTCAAGTATAAAATGCTTAGTGATTGCAAGTTTTCTAGAATGATGAATGAGCATTATTGATAAAAAAAAATTGTAAAATACCAATAGGATGCTTTGGTTAATGGTTAGTTGACTTGGTCAAGAGAAGGGGAAGAAGCGGCCCCCATCTGTTTGGCATAACTCTTTGTGCTTTGGACCCACCCTACAAGGGTTTCTGCATAGAGAATTAGAGATCTCTTGGGTTAAATTGTGATTGGACTGTTCTACTTCTACCACTCCAAATTCTGCCCACTTGTTTTGTTTTGTCCAAACAGAAAAGTTGCAGGACCCCATGATCGACCCATTTTGGTTTGCCACCTCAAACTGCTATTTCACAATAGGCATTATAGCTAGCTTATGTGGGCCTCCATCATTCCATGATAAATGGTACTTGTTCCTGTGTTTTTTCCAACTTTTTCCCTGGAAGACAGAAAGGCCATCACCTAATGTTGGTCCCAGCTGTCTGGGGGTCTTGAGAGGGGTGGACTGACACGGATCTGACCTTTGGCTTTTTTTTAGCAGAAGGCGATGGCCACTCTCAGACTCCAACCTGCATTCTCACACTTATTAGCCCAAGATTTTACCACCATACTAAGTAGTGGCTTCTCACTATATGAAAGAATGGGATGACAAGTCCAGCTTCAAAATCTGATGGAGTGTCTCTCTCTCTGCCCTTAATTTTAATGGTAGTAGAAGAATTATTAATTCCAAAGAACTGTTGCATGACTTTGCAACAGTCACCGATGAGCCATCGCCCAACTTGAAAGTGCATCAGGTACAAAGTACAGCATTACTCAGCTGTAATAGCATCAGCAAAAACAACAGCCTTAAAGTTGTTAAACCCATATTTTATGCAGTATGAAAATAATAATAAAAAGGTGCCACATGCTGACTGAATGTTGTCTTTATTGGAGCTAAAAGAAAGAAAACAATAAAAAAAATTCTTGGATTTTTTCGCAATAGGAGATGAAAGAATGATATTCCCATTTTTAATGAAATACCAAAGAGATAGAAAGCATATTTTTGGTATTACATACTATATATTTATTACAGGGGGCTCAGGGTGGGGATGAACAGGGTGCACGTGAGGGAATTGGATTTGCTCCTCACTGAACCGCACTCACACCCCCTTTGCAGCCGTGCATTGGGAATATATCTATAGTTGTATGTTTTTATTCATGAAAAGATATTCCCAGCACAGCTGTAATGGGCTTTGATAACACTTTTGTAATGATCAAAACCTACCTGGCACGTGAGACCCACTAGCCATCGGTGGGTTTGATCCCACACCACCTTATATGGAGGGTTGCCAGGTGCAATCCAGATCAGATAGGCATACATGATAAGCACACGGAGAAAGTACTTAGAAAATTTTTTGACACCTGTCTCTTAAAACATCCCAGTCTACCTTCAAAAAAGATTAAAAATATCTTTTGATTCAGTTTTCAGAATATTTATCGAGTGTTCATTGAATATATTTACAATGTTGTGCCCACTTGATCCGGTCTCTGCCAAATTACCATCTCAGCAACTGGATACAGATATAAATAGAAAAAAGAAAAAAACTTTAGAAAAAATCTAAAGAAATATTATATAATATGGTTGGTTTTGTTTCTAATAACAAAAACAATTTCCGCATCAACAAAACATTCCCTAAATTAGGCAAATATTCTTGATATGTGATATTCTTTAAAAGCAAAGTTCAAGGTATCAGTATTGCAATGTATACACAGACTAAGGTACAAACACATAAAACAACACCTCTTTTACTAATTTCTGAAGTAATGTATCGTCAGAACAAATGGAAAAAGTAAAGAAATTGTGGAAGATTTAGCATGGATACACTTAAGAAATTAATGCAAATCTAAATAAACTTAATTCTGATAATAAATTAATTCTATCTCTTTTGTTTTAATATTCTGGTGTCTATATATGTCATGATCACATTTCCTGTGACCGTCAATAAAATTCAAACAATCTGGACCCCTCAATAAAATTCAAACACGCCATTTTTTAAAGAAAAAAATCACATCAACTGATGTTTGGCTTAAAACAATGGAATTAATGTTTACATTTGACAGGGGAGATCAAATCAGCCCCCATAGTTTCCAATACATGGCGGAGATATATATATATATATATATACTGTGGGACTTGTGGGGCGCAGTCTTGTGGGGGCTGATTTGAACTCTTCATAGGGTTGCATGCCGCCAGTGGAATTAAACTTAATTACTCAAAATATTCCACCCATGCCATGTGTCAGCCACTTAGAAATCTGATATAATACACCATATAATCCCCAAATGACCCAATAATTGAGATGGTCACTCAGCATTCATCCAAATATGGAGATATAGGATCAAACCCACATATTTACAGGTTCTATTAGGCAAGCCCCAAACCGAATTTCCTGCCCACTACTTTCTATCCACCGTAAATTACAGTCAGTACATCTCACAAATCAAAATGGGCGATGTGTGACTACAATTCACAGTTTGTCGAATGTGGATAGAAAAAGTGAGTAGGAAATTTGGGCTCGGAAAGTTCAGTGGACACCCTGCTATGTCCCAACCCCTTTATTTTTCATGTGTAATAGGTTATACAAAAATAAAAGCCATATTTCAAAACTTACATAGTTTATTACTTCAGCTTTACTCCTTTTACTTCCTGCTTTAATTTACATAAGATTTGAATACTGGTTTGAATGTTTGTAAGCTCTTTATCTGGGCCACAATATGGTCGAAAAAAGTCCACATTTCCGGATGGGCATGTTCATTTTAACAGTCATCGATCAAACATTCTTGGTCATAATGATTAGAGAATCCAAACTATTTGGTCGGTGACTGGAATAAGAACAAAAAAACAAGCAAAGGTCCCATTCCCATGGCTAGAACTAGAACTAGCTATGACTGAGGTAGCATGTAAATCCCTAAAAACAACAACCTGTCTCGAGATGTTGATATGCTAAATCGTCTCGTAGCGCTCAAATGTCAATCTGAGCAAGACCTCTGGGGTCCATTCTTTTTGACTTGTGATTGCACGGCTCCAATTTTGTATTTGGGTGGTGGAGCATTTCTAATCGGAGTCCAATCCTGGTGAAAGAACTACTCGTGTGTAAGTAAGCATGGATTCATTGATTGCACAACAAGTTGTTCTTCCTGTCTGTACCATGGCATGCACCATTGAAGCTATTAAACAACGAAAATGGCGGAATAAATGTCGTTTTATTTTAACCTTGCCATGGGTTGCGTGGTAGAAGAGCCAACCCAGCTGCCATTACAACTGTTGATCAAAGTTTTGCTATGTATAAATAAAGATTTTTCTAATCTTTATTTACTAGTGGGACCCATGCGATGCACGAGATATGTTAAGCAAAATTAAGGTGAAGTGACCCTGATATTTTCAATTGAGTTGAGCTGATCTATGTCTAATTCAAGCATTATTTTTTGGGTTATATCTAATTCGTATAAAATAGATCAAATTACAACCCAATGAGAGTGGCCAAATTTTGTATTAATTTTTATTTGATTTAAATGAAATTTAAATAGGATATCAAATCAGCCCCCCACAACATTCCACAGCACATCCCCACCGTGTGTTGAGAATATCTCCTGATGATGACATTATTATTTCTGGTATTATCACTGGGGGATGTTCCTAATACACGGCAGGGATGTACTGTAAGACATTGTGGGGGACAATCTAGTGGGGGCTGATTTGAACTTTTTAAATAGATCCAAATTGGGACTAACAAAGCCGAATGATTCCACATCATTTTTTTTTTTTTTGTTTTTTTCTTCATAGTTCCAACCAAAAAATGGCCATATATTCTATCCTAAGAAATTTTTGTGATGAATGGTTAACCCAAAATTTACCTTTATAATTGATAAATCCACAAAAATCATCATCATCGCCACCATCATCATCCCCCATGTTAGGTGGAAATAATTAACTAAAATGCCTTGAAAAGTAGACAATTTGATTTTAAGAAATGTTAGAATCATTCATTTCAAATAATGCTTCTTTCCCCAAGACACTCCATGGGAATGGGAACAAAGAAAAGGTAATTTTGAGATGAAGTCTCTTAACTCTAAAGAATTTCTAGAACACAGGTATAAACCCACTCTCTTGAGTCTTGAGTGAATCAAGAAGGCGTATTTTAATCATTCTTGTGGATGTGAGCTCTGAGTTGAGTCTTATTGAATTGTTTGATCAGAATTTCCAATTACTTGCACTTTGGTGTCATTTGCATACCAAGATGATAGAAAGTTAGAATTAATTAACATAAGATGTAGCTTGTGAAAATTTAAGCTAAAGATACGGTAGTATTTTATTATAATTAGATTCAATGAGATTGATGGGTGATTTGCAGTTGTTTGTTCCCATGTGATACAGATTTTGCACTTCTATTTTTATATCAAACCCTTAATTATACTTCAAGTAGTGAAGAGTTCAATACCCATTAAAAAAACCCTCTATTATCTTACATTTAGAAATGTGGTCTGTTTATCTAACACAGGTCTAATTTCATCCAATATGAAGTCTTAGCAACACACAATCTACTGAGCATGCACCATAAGATCGGAGTAACACCTCTGATCACCACACACACACACAAATCCCTGATTATATGTTGATTGAGACCAATGTTAGAATATATTACTGTAGTAAGATCTGCACTTATAGAAATGGACCAGTTTCATTGCTAGAAGAGAGATTGACTGAAAAAGATATGATGCTTTAGTGTAGCTCTTGGATGAGATTTAGGTTTAATTGACTGAAGCATCTTTTGAACCGGGTTTTAAAACATTGGTGGAACTTGCTAAATGCCTTGTGAAAACAGACATTAATCCTTTCATAGATCAACCATATTCATCATCAATTTTTAAATGGTAGATCGATCCAAAGATCAAAACATAATGAAGTTAATTGGGAAGGCTAATTCAACTCAGGATTCTGAATACCAAACAGTTGGCGTATAAAGAACTACTTGGTCTCTTATCTCGTTTCTATTTTATTACAAAACGATGTTAAAGAGTAGGTCACTGTTAAAGCTTATGCTAAATGTGGGTTACCATCAGCACATACGAAAGGATATGGTAGTCAAGGAACTGATCTTTCTACAACTAAAATAAACTAATCATGGAAAGATTCCAAGAATGATGCAATCCCTTGAACTTTTCATCACAGCTGCTACTTCTAAAAATTTCATAATTTCATAATCATGCCATATCTGGTTAGACGTATGCCAGAAAGAGGAAAGGTCAACAATCGGCTAAAGGGGGGAAATAATTGAACAATTAAACATATGGGGGCAATTATAGCTGAAGGGAATAAGAAGAGTCTTGAGGCATTTATAGCTATGTCAGTTAGGAATAAAAAAAGTGTTGGGCATTTATAACTTGGCCAACTGGGCATTTATAGAGGGAGTTAGTTATGCTGTGAGAAGAGTATAAGAAGGGGCTTTGGGGGATGGGGGGAGGTATGTTTTTTTGAGTGAAGAATATTGTGAGTGATTGGGAGAGTCGGCGGTTTCTCAAAGAACCGACCAACTGTTAATGTTTTCTTCTAAATGAATATAATCTCTTTTGTTGATGTGCGAGTTGTGTGACTTCTGCTGTGAGTCTGAGAACTGTGTGTGAAGTTTCGAGGTCATAACAATGGTATTAGAGCCCGTCTTTCCTCAGCCATGGTGATAGCTAAGGAAGTGGCATCGCAGGTGGAGGGTTTCGAAGAACGTTTGACTTCTCTGCATTCTGGATTTCGTGTGGAGATGGATGGCTTACGCAATGAGATTCAGCGACTTGATCCAGATAAGGTAGCAGCTGGACTTTCGAAGATCTCATCTCTGGAGAGCTCGGTACAATCTCTGGAAGGAGGCTTTCAAGATTTGGTGAGACATTTTGATCTGTTGCTTCATCAACAAGTCTATGCTCCTTTCTCTACGACTGACATTGCTCCTCCTTTAGTCGCATCGAGTCGTGCGGCTGACAAAGGGAAGAGTGCAGCTTTTCCAACATCTTCTTCAATGTCGGTGCTGGAACATACTTCTGATTCACTTCCTCAGAAGTTGGAGTTACCTATTTTTTATGGGGAAAATCCATACGGCTGGCTTTTTCACGCGAAGCGCTATTTTGAGATTAATGGCTTGCTTTCGACGGAGCGTCTACGAGCAGCTGTTGTCTGTTTAGAGGGTGATGCATTGGCGTGGTATTACTGGGAAGATGGCCGACGACCTTTTCGTAGTTGGGCAGAATTCAAAGAGCTCCTCCTATAACGTTTTCGATCGACTCAGGAGGGAACTTTACAGGAACAACTTTTATCGTTACATCAATCTTCTACTATTAAGGAATATTGTTGCCAATTCGAGGCGCTCTCCGCTCCCCTACGTGACCTGCCAGAATTAGTCCTTGAAGCAGCATTTGTTAATGGGTTGCGCCCAAATATCCAGGCCGAACTCCGACAGATGGAACCCATTGGGTTGATTAGGAAAATGGTTGTGGCCGAGAAAATTAAGGAGAAGAATCAGGCCTTATGGGCTTATCAATCAGGTTTATTTCCTCATGGGCCCACAACAACCCCCTCTGGTGCTCACTTTAATTCACGGGTTTTGCAAGTGACTATTTTTGCTGTCACCCGACCTGCACGTGCCGTGATTCCTCCTTCTTCTTCATCGGTCCCCATTATTAAGGCCCCACCACCTGCTTTCAAAAAAATGACCAATAAAGAGATGCAGCAGAAGCGTGCGAAGGGTCTATGCTTCCGTTGTGACGAGAAATACAGACCGGAACATCGTTGTGCTCAGAAATAATTTCAGGTTTTATGGGTTCAAGATGATGTAGAGGAAATTACTTCTAATGCATCTAATTTGGACAGCACTTCCGGGGACACTAAAATTGCTTCGGCTCTAGATTCAGCCGTGCTTTGTGTTTTTTCTCTTGTAGGCTTGTGTGCGGCTAATTCCCTTAAGGTGCGTGGACGCATTTTATCACGTGAGGTGGTCATATTGGTAGACTCAGGTGCATCCCACAATTTTATCTCCAAAGCTTTAGTGGAAGAATTGAAATTACCCCGCGCTCCTACACACGAGTTTGGAGTTCAGATGGGGAATGGCAATGAGGTGAGAACTTCTAGAGTCTGCCGTCAGGTTTGCCTCAACTTACCCGAATTGGATGTCATTGCTGATTTCTTTCCTTTAAAGTTGGGCTCTACGGATGTCATTCTTGGTTTTCCTTGGTTAGCATCCCTCGGGGACTCAATGATGAATTGGGGTAACATGTCTATGAAGCTCAACTTGGGGGGTGTCTGTGTGAAATTGTAGGGCGACCCTTCTCTCTGTTCTTCTCGGGTATCTTTGCATGCTATGATGCGTAACTTACAACATGAGGGACAAGGGATTTTGTTGGAACTAAAACAATTGCAGGTGGTGGATTCTTCATTGAACTTTGTCTTGCCTACATCCCTGCCAATTTCCGCTTTACTGGATGAGTTCAAAGATGTTTTTGATATGCCTACGAGTTTACCCCCTACTCGGGCTATGGAGCATGCTATTGTCTTGTAGGAAGGCACTTCCCCTATCTCTGTTCGTCCTTACAGATACCCTCAGTTCCAAAAAGATGAAATTGAACGTCTTGTCTCCGAGATGTTGGCTGCATGTATTATTCAGCCAAGTACAAGCCCCTACTCGAGCCCGGTCCTTTTAGTCAAGAAAAAAGACGGAAGTTGGCATTTTTGTGTTGATTACAGAGCCCTTAACTGTGCTACGGTTCCGGATAAGTTCCTCATTTTGGTTATCGAAGAACTTCTCGATAAGCTTCATGGTGCTTCTATTTTTAGCAAAATTGATCTTAAATCGGGCTACCATCAAATTCGTGTCCGCATTGAGGATATTCCCAAGACTGCATTTCGCACCCACGAGGGCCATTACGAATTCCTTGTCATGCCCTTCGGTCTCACCAATGCGCCATCGACTTTTCAGTCATTAATGAATACTATCTTCCGTGATTTCCTCTGTCGCTTTATGCTGGTATTTTTTGATGATATTCTTGTTTACAGTGGTTCCGAAGCTGCCCATTTGGATCACCTTCGATAGGTCTTCTCTGTGTTGTGCACCCACCATCTCTTTGCTAACTCAAAGAAATGTATCTTTGCTCAGCCTAGCATTGAATACCTGGCTCATATTATTAGTGTGGTTGTTGTTTCTGCCAACCCTTCTAAATTCCAGGCCGTGGTTGATTGGCCCCAACCATCTTCACTTAAAGTTCTTCGCGGTTTTTTGGGACTTACAGGCTATTATCGTCGTTTTGTGTGTAACTATAGTAAAATAGCATGGTCATTGACACAGCAGCTTAAAAATGATGCCTTCTCATGGAATGCGGAAGCTGAGAATGCCTTTCAGGAGTTGAAACGGGCTATGACGACCGTACCTGTGTTGGCCCTTCCGGATTTTTCCTAGTCCTTCTTGATCGAGACAGATGCATCCGGTGTGGGTCTCGGTGCGGTACTAATGCAGAATAATCGACCTATAGCTTTTTACAGCCACAATCTTAGTCCGTCTACACAGTCAAAATATGTTTACGAGCGTGAATTAATGACTATTTCTTTGCCATTAAAAAATGGTGCCCCTATCTTCTTGGAAGACACTTTATTGTTTGTAACGACCAGCGTAGTCTTAAGTATCTGTTGGAGCAGCGGGTTGTCGAAGGTGAGCATCACAAGTGGCTCCTTAAGCTTATGAATTATGATTTTGAGATTCAGTACAAACCAGATACCGAAAATGCCATGGCTGACGCTCTCTCCAGAGTTCCTGCCGAAATGCACTTAAATTCTCTTACAGTCCCTATTTTTCTTGATTTTGATGACCTTAAGGAGCAAGTTTATGCTGATCCTTTTCTGGCCAACATTAAGAATGCCATCCAGCATGATCCAGCTGCCTATCCTGCCTACTCTTTAGTTGGAATTCACCTTCATTATCATGATAAATTGGTTCTGCCGACTTCTTCCCCATTTATTCCCCTTACTTAAAGAGTTTCATTCTAGTGTTGTGGGAGGACACGCTGGAATCCTCCAGACATATCGGCGAATAGCAGCTGAATTTTACTAGCAGGGGATAAAGCGTTCTATCCAAGAGTTTGTGCAGGCCTGTGATGTGTGTCAACACAATAAATATGAAGCCATGTCTCCTGTTGGCCTTTTGCAACCTTTACCCATTCCTGAACAGATATGGGAGGATATTGCTATGGACTTTATTGAGACTCTTCCTAAGTCGAAGGGATTTGATACAATTATGGTGGTGGTCGATCGTCTCTCCAAGTATGCTCATTTCATCCCTCTCAGTCATCCTTTCTCAGGTCTCACGGTTGCTCAAGCTTTCTTACACAACATAGTTCATTTACATGGCATCCCCCGATCAATTGTGTCTGATCGTGATAAAGTCTTTATGAGTTTCTTTTGGCGCGAGCTTTTCACCTTGCAAGGTTCAGAATTGCATCGTAGTTCAGCTTACCATCCTCAGATGGTCAGTCGAAGGTGGTTAATCGTTGTTTAGAGACTTATTTGCGATGCTTTGTGGCTGATTCCCCCTCCCGCTAGTCTTCTTGGTTATCTTGGGCTGAATATAGCTATAATACCTCTTTTCACACTATTGCTGGCATGACACCTTTCAAGGTGGTTTATGGGCGCGATCCTCCTCCATTAATCCGCTATGAGCTTGGCTTTACGGCTAATGCTGATGTTGAAGTTGTTCTCCTTCATCGTGACGCTATACTTGGGGAGTTGCGTGCTCATCTACATCGTGCACAACAAAAGATGAAAGACTCGACTGATGCAAACCAACGTAATGTGAATTTTGATGTTGGGAATTTGGTGTATGTGAGAGTGTGACCTTATCACCAGCAGTCTCTAGCTTGCCAAGTCAATGAAAAGCTTGCCCCTTGTTTTTATGGACCATTTGCTATTGTGGAAAGAATTTGCGTTGTCGCTTATAAATTTCAACTTCCTCCAAATGCACGGATTCACCCAGTTTTTCATGTCTCGCAACTCAAAAAGGCGATTGGCAATCATATCTCTTCTCCTGTGATTCCTTCCACTCTGTCGGATGATATGGAGATGCTTGTGGAACTTGTGGCCGTTCAAGGGGTGCATCCATCCACTATGCCTGGAGTTACTGGTTCGGAAGTGCTTATTCATTGGCCAGACCTACCTGATTTTGAAGATTCTTGGGAGCCTTTTGACTTACTTCGAAACCAATTTCCTCATTTTAACCTTGAGGACAAGGTTAGACTTTGGGTGGCGGGTAATGATAGGCCCCCAATTAACCTTACGTATGCCAGGAAGAGGAAAGGTCAACAATCGGCTAAGGGGGGAAATAATTGAACAATTGAACACATGGGGGCAATTATAGCTGAAGGGAATAAGAAGAGTCTTGAGGCATTTATAGCTATGTCAGTTAGAAATAAGAAGAGTGTTGGGCATTTATAGAGGGAGTCAGTTATGCTGTGAAAAGAGTATAAGAAGGGGCTTTGGGGGATGGGGGGAGGTATGTTTTTTTGAGTGAAGAATATTGTAAGTGATTGGAAAAGCCGGCGGTCTCTCAAAGAACCGACCAACTGTTAATGTTTTCTTCTGAATGAATACCAGTCTCTTTTGTTGATGTTCGAGTTGTGTGACTTCTATTGTGAGTCTGAAAACTGTGTGTGAAATTTCGGGGTCATAACAGGTTACAAGTTGGGCTCCCCTATTTGAAGAATTTCAAGATTAACTGCATCGAATTTGGGTTAGGGGTTTGACCCATTGAAAAATTAACAAATTCTCAATCCAATCCAACCCAAATTGCACCCCTATAGTTCTGTTATAGGATCATTAGTAAACAAGCAAAAGGCATTGGGGTGGTATCTTAGAACCCATGAGCCACTTAGATGGTGTTTACGGCAAGTCTTTGTAGGTAGATCTTTTAATGGCGCAGTAGGTGAGAATACACTGAGCATTTGGAGTCTTGTCATTAAAGACCAAGACTGTTTGGTAAGCTCAGTGGTCTACCAGACTGTTAAAACAGCTAGAAAACCTATTTTCAGTGCGAAAAGATCAAAAGCTTCAGTTGAAGCTTCCCAATTTTTGGCCTTTTCAGTCTTTTCAGTTGCTTGTTTGTCTTCTGATGTTCCTGTCTACACGATACCAAACGATAAAAGACTAGTTTTTTTTTTTTGGTCTTTTGAACTTCCTACAGACGGAAAGACATACCAAAGACTGCCTTAATGTTCTTATTCAAATTGCAGATTGTAATCAAAGCTTAGCTTGAGAAGAGTGCAAATACAAATGTATACAGTGCACTCTTCCCAAACTGAGGCTCAGTTTGCACTGTACATATACATATTTCTATTTGCACTCTTCCCAAACTGAGTCCAAAGGTTGGCAAAGTGGCACAAGAGGCCTTCGTTATGCAATTATAATTTTGAAAAGAAAATTACATGGTAGACTACAGGGCAGATGTGGACGATTAAGGGGGGCATATATGATTTTGCTTTTTGAAATAAAAATAACTACCATATCAACAAAAACAGTAAGTGTGTAAATTTCAAGGATTAAATAGTCCTTTACTTAACTCCCTAAAATAAACAAATATGCTGTCATGTACCAGGGAAATTTACAACTAGAGTGGTTGATTAGGCTCAGTTTGGAAAGACTGTAAATACAAATATGTACAGTACAAAGCCTTGTATTTTGTATTTCTAAACCCATATTTGCATTTGTATTCATCCCAAACTGAGTGCTGGTGAGTAAGGGTGTTAATGGACCGGTTTTGAATTGGACCCTATCCAATCCAAAATCAATTTGGATGGATTGGACAGACCAGCAAGACATATTGAATTGGACCAATCCAGTCCAAAACATTTATTAGATTGGATTGGACTTGGTCCGTCTGCAACAAATTTATATTGAATTGGGTTGGATTAAGCCAATATCTGGTTCATTGATATAAAATAAGAATATATATATCAATGAATCGGGTTTGGGTTGAAATCAATCTAAATCAAAATGAATTTAAATAAATTGAACGGTCCGACCGATCCAAATTGATCCAAAACATTCATTGGATTTAATTGGACCTGCTCCATTTATAATAGACTCACATTAGACTGGGTCGAATTAGACCAAATCCACACCCCTACGTGGTGAGTGCAATCAACTAGAATATTCATATCTAGCCAGGTTGTGAATCTCTAGCTGACCCTACTTTTTATGAGCTTGGGTAATGAGACTCAATTCTAATCAGCAAACAATTTGAGTTTAAGGCTCAATTTGGAAAGCGTGTAAATAAGTGCAAATACAAGGTTTAGAATCGGCATACAAATAAGAGCTTGGGTTCCAGCTGACTGCACTCTCACCGGCAATGGCTGAGGCTAGGCATAATGTTAGAGTCTTTATACATTAATAGGCCAATATGCATATAACTATGGTTTGTAAGATACTGAAAGTAATTTTAGGTTGCCAATCAAAGGGAAATGAGTAGAAAATGTTGAACAGTAGCCCAAAATAAATTTGGAAAAAAGATTTAGGATTTTTGAGGTTTTGATTGTTTTTTAGGCTAATAAAATTAGGGCATTTAATAATTAAAAATCTTGGTTAAAAGAAATATTATTATTTCTTAGAGAATAGCAGTTATCAGTAGTAAATGCCACATTCACCAAATAAATTTTTAAGCAAGTATAAAAATTAAAATGCATTAGCAAAAAAAAAAAAAAAACTAAAATGGAATAGAGCAATTTAAAAGAGAATTTTACTCATTTCTAAACATGCAAAATATGTTGTCTTTTGCTACCTTGTTTCCTCTTTTCTTTTCTTTTCATTTTTTTCCCTGATTTAATCAGGAAGAAGTGGGGATAAAGGGGTAAAAGGAGGAGGGAATAAGGGAATAGGAGAGAGATTATTTTAGTTTCTTTAACTTTTGTTTTATCTTATATGCTCTTTATACTTGAAGTAGTAAAAGTTAGAGCTATGATTTAGTCTAAATAAGAAAAACTTAATAATTTAATATCTTGAACTTCAAAATGTGTGTATGATTATATACAAATTTTTGGTGGGGTGTGTGCATGTTCATATAAGCATAATACATTCTAATATCTAATAATAGATTGTCTTATTGTAATATTGTATTAGTTAATAGACATTGGACAATAGTAGTGACAGAGTGGATCCATGTTCATAGATAGTAGGGGTTATTTGCTTAAAAATATTAATTACTATGGGATTTGCTTATCTTTAATACTACTTTCTATGTGTTAATTTAGTGTATTTGGAACTTAAAAAAAAAAAAAAAAAAAAAAAAACTAATTTATGTGATCGTATAGATAAGGTCAAATCCTACATGGGAAATTTAAATACAAGTCAAATAACTTTAAATAACAATTGAAAATAAGTATAATCTTCAAAGCATGCATCTCATTTTATAATTGTCTTTTTATTTTGAATGCATATAATATCTAGAAGAATGAATCTAAATGGATGGTTTTTTATGTGAAGCTCCCCCTCACTTCTCTGGTATTCTCTTAGAGCCCCTTTGGGAGGGCTTCTGAAGTGATTGAGCTGTGTTGATTGAATTGCTTTCGAAAACCTATCTATGATAGTTTTGCCAGAAAGTCGATTTTTCAGCTTATTTAAGCTTTTTTCTTTTCAACTTTCCAGATTTTTATCAAAAACAGTTTGGCAATATTCTGGGTTTTTTGGTTCATATAGCACCAGAAGCCGCTTCATGAAAGCCCTTCCAAACAGGCACTTAAACTTAACCTGACATTTAGGTACCTCCACCGTTGATTGGTTGTGAAATGAGAGAATATAAAAAAAGGGGACAAAATGAACAGGCGTATTTTTATAATAAAATGTTGGTTGATAGGTTGTTTACTCAGTCAAGGTTAATTTTGTCATTAAGTCTTAGTTTGGAAGGAATACAATGCAAATATATAGAGTGCAAAGCTTAGATTGGAAAGAGTATAAATACAAATACACATAATGACACAAAATAAGACAAATTACAAGGTTTTGCACTGTACATCCAAACTAGGCCTTGTAATTTGTATTGTTTTGTATGTATTTATATTGAATATATTTATATTTGGGTAAATTTCTTAAATTACCCTTATGGTTTAGCCAATTGATTAATTGTATTTTTACTGTTTGAAAATTGACTAACCCTACCCCTACTGTTTCTAACAATTGACTAACTCTACCTTCGTTAATATTTAACACTTGATATATTTTTTAACCCAATTTTACCCTCACCTCTCTCCCCTTTTCCCTTTCTCTCTCTCTCCCCTTCTTTTTCCTGTTGGATTGGGTTTAGATTTCACCAATATGAGGGTTTCACCGCGCTCTTCGTCTTGTTAAAGCTGCAAAATGTGATCATCAGAGGATCCGATCGATCCATGAGAAATCAAAAGAGCTTGCTTGCAAACTCTTGTTTGGCCTCCCCATCTATTGAAGATGCTGAAGCAGCTAGATCTCTAAGTTCTGATAGGCTCCTTCCCAATTGCAAAGCCACCTTCAGTTCAAACAGCTCCCCATTTCTCTATTCTCTATGTCCTTTTCCTCCAAAGTGGAAGGTTATTCAAGGCTTGAATAGGAAATGAAGCAGAATCTTGTTCACTGCGTTGTTCTTCTACGAGTTCAAACAACTCCTTCAGTTCAAACAATTCCCCATGAAGTTGCTTGAATAGCCTTGCCGCATTGCGTTGTTCTTCTACGAGTTGCGATGGCTGAATCTTGTTCATCACCAGCAACATCCCTGTAGCTGCCGTATATAATAGAGTACATGAGAGCTTTAGTGCGGCAAGTGGCGCTCCCGTTCCAGCTGTTTCTGCTAGCCCGACCATCGTTGCAGCGGTGATGGTGATTGTATTAATGGAGGTGAGAAGGAGGTGGTTCCAGTTATTCCGCTGCTCCTGGATGTTGGCATGCATCTCCGCCCTGTCTGCAGCAGCTWCCATGATTGMATAAAGCTCCRCAATGACCGTAGACTTGGAGTTAACATCAAGATCATCTCTCGTGGTTTTGGTAGCAACTTTAGTGTCAAAAGGCTTCGTTTCTGTCTGGGTAATGGTTGTGGCTGTTGTGTATCCACTTCTCAACCAAGTCCGTAGTCCGAATCTTTGGAAAAGAAAGAGAACTTGGTTGGAGTTTTGGGGTATTAAGAGTAGCCGATACTCTTCTTCGTCGTGAAGATGATGACAAGGAGGAAGAGCACAGGAGACTGGTAGTTCGAAGAGTAGCCATGCTATGTTGACGGCCTGATGCTCACAGTTTGCCATTTTTTTTTGGCTTCCAAAGTTATGGTTGTTGTTCTGCAATTGGGTTTGAGAGGATTTTTGGTTGTCAGCAGAAAGATGAGATGATGGAGAAGATTTTTGGTTGATAAAAACAGACCACTGTTTCTTGGAAACTACCGGCACAATAATGTGATCGACGAAGACCCGTTTGAATTTGGAATACAAGCATCCAGAGTCCGGCGAGATTCCGATCAAAAACAGCTCAAATGGCTGGCAAATCATTGGGAAGTAAAAAATGTGCACGAAGTAAAAAATCCGCACAGTGTGCACGAAGTAAAAAATGAAGAATGGGAACTAAGAGAGGTTACAGAGCGAAATCGATGAACTGGTCCATACAGTTTTTCGTCAAATCCGCACAGTGAACAGGCGTACCTTCCCACGGTCACCCACTTCAATCGTCCTCTCCTAGAGCGTCATTAAAAGTCACGCTTTCAAGCCTTCATCTCAGACCTCTCCCTCTGCCTCTGGTCTCTCTCCTTTCTCCGTTCTCAGACCTCTGGTCTCTTTCTCCGTTCTTAGACTCCATCAAAACACAGTTTGGGATTTCTTTGGATGTTTAAATTGTTTTATTTTGAAATTTTGAAGAAGCATAAAGGATAAAATAGACTTTTTCGTGTTTATGTTATTGGGTGCTAACGGTAAATATTAGTCAATTGTCAGAAAAAGTAAGAATACACTTAATCAATTAACTAAATTATAAAGATAGTTTAAAAAATTTACTCTATATATTTATACTCCTTCCAAACTGAGCTTTGCACTCTAGGTATTTATACTTTTACTCTTCCAAACTGAGTGTAAATAAATATTAATGTGCATTCTGTCACAATAGCTCACAGAGACATGAGGAAAATAGGTATCTTAAAATTAAAAGTGTCTAACAAGGAAGAAAGTTTCTGGAGGTATCGAAAAATCAAGGTAAGCTTAAGAAAATCCCAGAAAAGTGAGGAGGAGTTTAAGATAAAAGCTCTTAAATGTATAAAATTTAAATTCCATCTCACCAAACATCTGTAAATTTGAGTCGTAACAGTTTAGCAAACAGCACCAATTGACCCAATCCTACTAGATATAGTCAATTAAAGTTTTCATTAACTTGGATTAGAGATCCCTAAGATTAATCACTAAGCTTAGTCAAAAGGATTTAGAGATAACAATGGATATTGTCTAACTAATCAATCAATCAATTAGATAACCGATATTCAAAAGAACCAAAAAAAAAAAAGACAAATAAGTCGAAATTCCTTTACTTTGGCTGGATTAATGTTCAGTTCTTCCTTTAGTATGTTTTGCATGGGGCAAGGCCGGTTATGTCATCCCCTATAATCATTTTTCTCTCTTTTGATAATGGTCAATAAAATTTCAAAGTGGTCACCCCTTCACCCAGAATAAACTTCGGGATTTAAAAAAAAAAAAAAAACAACAAAGTCAATCTCTTTCTTAATGGAGTGTCAAAATCAAACATGTAAATTGGTGTTCTTCAATGTGATTTGTTTTTCTGGTTCGAGTAGCAGAAATTGATGTTCTTTAATGTGATTTGTTTTTCTGGTTCGAGTAGCAGAAATTGATGTTCTTTAATGTGATTTGTTTTTCTGGTTCGAGTTCCAGAAACAAATTAAAGCCATGTAGTTTGAAAATAAATTGATTCTTAATACAATAGCATAGGTTTTTGTTGTATGTATTGTTTTGTTTTCATAAAAAATGTATTTTTTAATTTCTGATTTGAAAAAAAAAAACATGTTTTCATCTAATCTCCTATCATGTTTTAGTAATGTCTGTATCTCTACATTTGATTTTATTTTAAAAACCATCATTTTTATAGTTAACGTAAAAGGTTTAAAAAAACACAGTTCAAGAACATGTTTCAGTTTTTTTGGGTTCGACCTGGATGGACCTTTCCTTATCTAAGACCTCACACACATAAATGCTTGATCAGTTCCAAGACAGCCCATTGCTGATTTCTTTAACATAAAACTTCTTAAGTTGGACCAAGGTTCAAAATATGTATCGGTATTGTTTTTTTTTTTTTTTTTTTTCAAAACCAGTTTAGGGGGGGCGGTTTAAGGTTCCTCCACCCTCTGAATCGGTCAAAACCCCAATACACTCTTTGTAGGGATATGTCGGGGAGCTCCCGAAATGATACGTATGAGATTTCTCATAAATCACCAATTTCTGAGATCATTGATTTTTTTAGAAATCAGAGAAATTGTTTGTTTGGCACCATCGATGCCATGTAAGCCGATTTCTGAAGAATCAGCAATGAGCTTGTCTGGTAATGATTATTAACATGATTTTTATTTCATGGAAACTATCTCCCTTATCCACATCAGATGACACGTCATCCAAAAATTTGGAATCAGCCTGAAAAGAGGAATCATAAAAAATGATGATTCCTTTTTTAGGCCCAATTTCAATAATCATTTTCAAGCAATTTGTCGATTTCTGAGAAATCAACCGACCAAACAGCAAATTCAATCACTGATACATCTTTGCCGATTTCTAAGAAATCGGCAATAGTACCAAATATCACCATTAATACATCCTGGATTAACCTCATCTTATATAAACAACAATCGAATCTAAAGACGGTAAAAATTTATAGCACCTATATTCATAATGAAGGTGGTTATATTGTTTATTTGATTATAATTTTAACCAAGAGGGATTGATTTGGGCACACCCCATCTTTTATTAAAGAGGCACAGCCATGCCCCACAAGCATAACTTGGGTGAACTGATTTAGCCAACACCCCATTTTTTATAAATTGCGGATATTCCAAGTGAAAAGACATTGGATAATGGGCCTAATGATCTTTCATATTCCAAATGAAAAGACCAACATAGCCTCGTTTTTTATAATATATGAATAAGGTTCTGAAATTCGGGTGTGCTCAGGTTAAGCATTTCTTAAATTTGGCCCAGACAGAGGTGAGGCCGGGTTTTTGCAATGCCCAAAGAATGGTTCAGCTTGTTAATGATACCACTACTATATGTAAATGGACAGAAAACATGTACAGGGATGAAGTCATAGCTCTTTACAATTTTTTGTGCAATATGTACTATATATTTATGCACAGAGAGACATCTTAGCACACAAGATAGTAAGGAGGGAACAGAGCTGCTTTTTTTTTAATAGACAAAAACTCTCTTCCGAGTATAACTTAAACCCTCCAAAGAGAGAAACAAGGAAATAAAAGAAACAATTAAGTTACAGCTTAGCCCAAAACATTGCTTCCCTTTCTATCCCTTGTTTAGCTAATCTATCCGCCAAAGAGTTAACTAATCTCTTAACCCAATGCATCCTGATTTTCATCTCCCGCACCAGCCACCTGAATTTCCTCTTTTTATTTCTGTAATTCCATAAACCGCAGTTGTCTTTAATCAGCCACCCTATCACCACCTCCGAATCCCCTTCAATTATGAGTTTCCTGACATTCAACTCCTTAGCTTTCTGAACTCCTTCCATAACTGCCAAGATCTCAGCTCTAAGGGAATCCCCCTCCCCAATTGGGCCTGAGAACAGGGCAGAAATGACAATGTTCTCATCCCTAAAAACACCTCCAATCCTTGATTGTCATGGGTTCCCCCTACAACTCCCATCAAAATTTAACTTTAAGAAGCAAACAAGTGGGGGAGTCCAAGACACCCTTATTACTGGTTTGATCTTAGTGCAGTTTGCAATTTCACCCCACTTTCTCAGTATGTCTTCCATTGTGTAGTCTGTAAATAGCTCTAGTGATTTCAGCCACTGTACTGCCCTTATGTGGATCACAGTCTTCACATCTTCAGCCCCTCTCTCATTTTCTGAGAAGATCCTAGTATTTCTTTCTTTCCATAATGTCCAGCATACTGCAGCCCTCAAACCTCTCTTCATAGTCCTTCCCCTTTTCATGTGCCACCTAAAGAAGGAAAGGGAAAAAAGGCTCTACAGGTCTGATGAAGGGCTCCATCTACAGCCAAAGAGAGAACAAGCCCACTCTCAAATTGACTTTGCAAATTGTCAAGACACCAGTAAGTGAAAACCAGTCTCCCCATCCGCTTTGCAAAGAATACACCAATGAGGTGACAAACAAGTATTGGGTCTCTTCTTTTGGAGCAAATCCTCAGTGTTGAATCTTTCCAATAGGCTTTCCAACAAAAACCACCAACCCTAGGAGGAATCGGTCTGCACCAAACCTCACTAACGGGGAAAGGAGAGGTTGCAGGACTAGTGGACTGGCAAAGGACTTTGAAGAATGAAGCACAAGAAAATGAGCCCGTGGGGGTAGGGGTCCAAATTCTAGAGTCCACCATAGAAGGGTCCAAGAAAACAATATCAAGAAGTTCAAAGATGTTCGAAATACAATCAAGGTCTAAGTCCCTCACAGCCCTCCTCAAACCCAGGTTCCACCTAAACCCCAAACTAGAAGAGGAAAGGGTGATGAAAGAAGAAACTGGCTCATCTTTAAATTCGGATAGAGCATACAAAGAAGGAAACTATTCCTTAAGAGGAATATTCCCCACCCAAATATGTTCCTAGAATTTTATGGCATTACCTGAATTCAAATCATACCTGAGATGAGGGGAGAAGACTAGAAGCAAATCATGAATGGCTTTCCAAGGTGAAGTGCTTGTGGTCCTTGCTCTGATTCCAACATCCCATCCATCTTGATCCAGCCCATGTATGTTTGCCACTATTCTAGCCCATAGCTTATGCTGCTCCAGAGGGAACCTCCACAACCATTTCCCAAGAAGGGTCGAATTCCTTATCCCAATGTTCCCAAGCCCCAAACCCCCATAGTTTTTACTTCTGGTCACCACCTTCCAGCTAACCCTATGGTCCCTCTTCTCCTCTCCCAGCTCCCAAAGGAAACCTCTCATAAACCTCTCCAACCTACTAGAAACCTTCATTGGAATCTTAAACACTAAAAGAAAATAAATTGGTAAGTTTGCTAGCGTGGCCTTAATTAGTGTAATCCTACCACCCAGAGAGAGAATTCTTCTTTCATGATACAAGTCTTTTTTCAAATCTTTCCACCACCGGGTTCTAAAAACTCTCCCTCTTAGGATTATCTCCTAGGGGCAGTCCTAAATAGTTCAGAGGCCACCCTGATACACACCCAGTACTTCTACACTCTCCCTTAACTCTCTCTCCTCCAGATTCACCCCCACTACACAACTCTTCCCAAAGTTCACCTTCAAATTTGGCACATGCTCATATAGTTGAATTACCAATTTCGGATTCCTTATGAAGCTCACATTACCTCCTTCAAAAAACAAGATTGTATCATGAGCAAACTATAAGTGAGAGATTGGGATGTTCTCCCTTCCAACCCTCCAACATCTAATGAGACCCCTAGAATCTGCCCTATAGATCAACTTCCTCAAAACATCAGCAACCAGTAAAAACAAAAATGGAGATAAGGGGTCTCCCTACCTTATACCCCTAGTGGCTGAGAAGAAATCCACCACTGTCCCATTCATTAGCACTGAATAATGATAATTCCGAACACAACCCATGATCTATTTACACCATCTGACCCTAAACCCCATTTTGATCATAACCTTCCTTAAGAACTCCCAATCCACCATATCATAAGATTTCTCCAAATCCAACTTACACATCACCCCCTTCTTTTTATCCTTCTTGAAATTCTCCACACTTTCATTGGCAATGAAGATTCAATCTGTGATTTGTCTTCCACTTACAAAGGCACCTTGATGTTGTTCAATTATGCCTAGCAATACCCTCTTCAACCTCAATGATAGCACATTTGCAATGATCTTGTGCAAACTATTTACCAGATTGATTAGTCTGAAATCCCTTGGATGCAATGCTTCTTTCTTTTTGGGAATCAAAGCTATAAAAGTAGAATTCACCCCCGGATTAACAATTCCTCTCCTATGAAATTCCTCAAAAACCAAGAGAATATCATCTTTCAAAATATCCCAACAGTCCTAATAAAAAGTCATTGTGAACCCATCCGGCCCTAGAGCTTTTGTTCTATCCATAGAAAACACAGCCTCCTTAATTTCTTTCAAGTTAAACTTCCTTTCCAAACTCCTATTATCTCCCCCTACATTTGCCCAATCCAGATCTTCAACCCACACCCTTCCATTTACAGGTCTTCTTATAATAGATTTAAAATGTTCCACACATGCCCCGGCTATCTCCTCTTGTTGAGTTAATTCAATTCCATCCACCACCAGTTTGGAAATGAAATTTCTCTTTTTTCTTCCATCTGCCAAAGAATGAAAGTACCTGATGTTCCTGTCTCCCTCTTGCAACCATTTGCACCTAGATTTTTGCCTCCAACTTATATTCTCCTTATGAAGGCAATCCTCTAACTTGGAACAGAGTTGTTGTTCCAAGTTCCAACTTCCAACCAATGTTTTAAAAACTGACTCAGAACCAAAATCGCTTTGGCCATGGTATCCAAGTCAATGGTTCAATCATCTAGTTCAAACATACAGCCCATTCCAATTTAATAAATAAATAAATCATTAAAACAAAAAAGGCCAAAAACCATTGTTCAGATTGAACAAATCAGACAGTTCAACCGCCAGATCAGTGAATCACTGACCAAATCAACGGTTTTTTACCAAAAAACAGGTTAAGGGTGAAACAGAACTGATTACCTGGACATTTCCCAGGCTGAACAGTCCGACCATCCAGGTCAACAACGTTCAAAAACACTGGTTCCAACTCCCCCGTCATGAACTGATGTACAGACTTTCCAAAGTTTAACAAGAAACACCTTGATCGTCCCTCTTAAATCTTAATCAGGTGATAAATGATTCGCATCAATACGTTGAACCACCTGAACCTCTATGTGTATGTGTGTGTTACATGGCCCTATCCAACCACATTCCAAAAATTAGGAGCCTTTCAAATATATCTCAAACATAAATTAGGCAACCAATCTCTAATTAATTTAAATGAACAAGAAACTGATTGTGCAAAGGATTTTGGGAAAGGAGAAAAAACTATAAATACACTAAAAAAAATATGATTCACTGGTGTAGATAATTCTTTTCACTGGACCGGTGCACCAAAATCAGGTGAGCCAGGCCCATACCCCGTGAAGTGTGAACTTTGTGAATCAAACCGATATTGAAAATTTTCATCTGCCTGTGAAAGTATTAGCAGAACAATATGGTCTTGCCCAAGACCTCTGGGTTCCATGTGGGCATTAATATATTGACCACTTGGATTTTGGAGAGATGTTACAAGAAAGGTCATTCAACCCACTATCGACCATGTCAAAGCTTAACGGTGGAATTCTTTCTTAGCATCCTATCATGGTTCAGCATGGCACCCACGCTCTCAACCACCAAAATGATCTGTAAAATACATCCAGCATTAAGTTATGATGGTAAAGCATGAATCGCAACAATGTAGGAAAGTGTGCATTTTCATTTTGCAATAAAATGCAAGTAACAGCTACATCCACTGCCAATTTTGCCTTCTTTGCCTTTAATTTGCTCCTTGCTTCAAATATCTAACTATCATTTTTTATGTTCCAAATGCTTAGAAAATACCCCCTTGGAAGCTCTGTAATTCTAAATGTATGCTTTAGTCTTGCATCAATTTTAAAACATACCTTCAGTTCACTCAGAACTTGCATGCATCTAGCGATGCAATGGGGTTGGTCTATATGTCAGACAAAAGATGCATATTACTGTTTTTTCAGCCTATGTCCCCTAGATAGCCATTGTTCATATTACTACCCATGCCAAAGCCTTGAGTTCGACCTTGCAAACATCTAGCAATATGGTAGAACCCACTTCTCCTAGAGACATTTTCATATGACTACTTGTGTCAATACCATACTTCCTCGTATAAGCCAGCATTTGAGGCTGCTTTACCCAGAGCTTATAGCTCCTAAATAAACCAGTGTTTTGAAAACTGCATACACCAATAAGCAGCCTCAAACCACTGCATACACCACCTGCAGCCAAATAAGTAGAGGGAATCATACCCAAATGCTAGTAACAAATGAACAGGAGATTAGTAAATGGTGAGTTCCTTTTATTATTTTCTTATTTTTTTGTGTTCAATCAACCTGCAAGTCAGTGGACATTCTTGAACTTTGAAGACCTCAAAATCTGAACCAACAAGCAAGGAAGAACTTGAAGATTTTATCCAATCAACACACAAGAGAAACCAAGGTATGTCTTCTTTTTTTCTTTTCTTCTTTTTCTGGGACAAAAAAAGATGCTCCACGTCTTCCTTTTTTCTGAAGGTTATTGTATTTATTGATATTGAAAGCCAATTACATCACCCTATGTACAAAGAGAATCTGTACAATGGGAATATACAAAAAACATGAGAAGTTACCCAAAGAAAGGTCCAAGTTGCAATAAAAGCTGGATACCATGAAATATCCTTTGTATACCCAACCAAGAACACAGTAAACCTATAAGATTACTCAACTTTATCTAAATCATATTACTTGTTATCAAATATGCAATGGTCTCTTTCCTTCCAATATAGTCCACAAAATAGCAGCCAGTAGAGTCTTTCATAACAAGTTACCCCTTCTATTCAGTCCCATTGACCACCCTTGCAGAAGCTGAAAAACTGACTCAGGTGGGCAAAAGCAAACCAAAGCAGGACCATGCCATTTGTCCATATCTGGTGAGAAAAGCTGCAGTGAACAAAGAGTTGATTGGAGGACTCGGGGGCCTCATTACATAAAGAACACAGGAATAGGATGCTTAACCCTTCTTTTTATTTTCTTAGTTTTTTCCTTTCCTTTTCCCTAGGGCAAACAAGGGCTCATCCTCCATATTTTCTCAGCTTCTCCTTTTTCTTCTCATATTTTGATATGACGTTTATACTTATTGATGAGGAGTATTCGTAATTAGTAGTGAAAGATGACTGTTGGTTGCTATGAAACCACATGATTTACATTTGAAGGTAAAATGGTATTGTATTAAAGGAGGGAGAGAGCCCTTCACACAAAAGGATACTTACAAAGCTTATATAAATACCTCTAAGTGTGTCACTATGTTTACACTAATATCAAACAAAAAAATCTATTCCCAAATAATTCCGTACCATTTGTTACACATATGACCTCTACAGATGCTAACAAATTCCTTGTGGATGTTGGCCCAAAAGATGATGAGTCTCTCCATCTTACCAATCAAAACTTCAGTTAGCACTTGCTTGTTAGAAAAAATTCTTTGATTCTGCTTGTAAGCCAAGCAACTGTGTCCAGGAAATGGTGGCCAAGCCTCCGAAAGTCCAAGGCAGTGGTGGTAACCGTGGTATAAGAGAGAGAGAGAGAGAGAGAGAGAGAGAGAGAGAGAAGGGAGAGGAAAAAAGAGTCTCGGTTTAGTTAAAGGTCTCATGAATATGTGGTTAGTGGGTACCCATATGGGTATGGGCCCTATTTATGGTTTAATAGAAATGGTGTAGAGATAATAGGAGATAATGATTTAGAAAAATGAAACTGTAAATGTTAAAAGAATTGAGGATAGAATAATTTTAATTAGACTTGTGTTAGGTGAGGAAATCACAAACATAATTAGTACTTATGCACCTCAAGAGGGTTTAGAAGAAAACATCAAAAGGCAATTTTGGGAAAACTTAGAAGGATTAATCCAAGAAATTCCAAATGAAGAGAAGATTTCATAGGAGGAGACTTAAATGGGCATCTAGGGAAAAGGAGTGTAGGATATGATATGGTATATGGAGGATTTGGATTTGAGGAGAAGAATGAATCAAGAAGCACAATATTAGATTTTGCAGTAGCTTATGGCAATTTTAAACACCTTTTTTCAAAAGAAGGATGAACACTTGATAACATTTAAAAGTGGATCAAACATAAGTCAAATAGATTTTTTCCTTGCTAGGAAAGCAAAACGAATGATGTGTAAAGATTGCAAAGTTATTTTAGAAGAAATCTTAACAATAAATTAGTGGTGGTAGATGTGCACATTAGGAAATGGAAGAGAAATAGGGAAGAAAATAAGTCCCCCAAAATTAGGTGGGAAAACCTAAAAGGAGAAAAACTAACTCAATTTAGAAATAAATTGATAAAAAAAAAAGAATTGGAATTTAGACGGAAAAATTAATGATATTTCACTTGAAATGGAAAACAACATAAATAAATTAGCAAGAGGATCTTAAGAGAATTTAAAGGGAAATGGAAAAGTACTAAAGAAACTTAGTAGTGGAAGAAAGAAGTTCAAAATATAATCAAATTAAAACAACCATGTTACAAAGAATGGCAAAAACCTAAAAATGCAAAAATTGGAAAAAAATATATAAAACCATAAGAAAGTTAGTCAAAAAGAAAGTGAATAAAGCTAAATGTATGGCATATGATGAGCTTTACTATAAATTAGACACTAAAGAGGGAGAAAAAGGAATGTATAAACTAGCAAAGCTAAGGGAAAGGAAAGGCAAGGATTTAAACCATGTTAGGTGCATTAAAGATGAAGATCAAAGAGTCTTAGTAAAAGATGAAGAAATCAAACAAAGATGGAAAAACTATTTCAAAAAATTATTAAATGAACAACAGGGAGAGGGTGCTGATAGAAGAGAAGCAAGCAATACTAAGTGTTAAAAATAATACATACATTCATAGAGTTAAACCTATTGAAGTAAAAGAGGCACTACGCTGCCCTTTTTAAAAGAAAAGAGGATGCCTAATGATTGGAGAAATAGAAATATGGTGCCTATATTTAAGAACAAAGGTGATATACAAATTTGTAATAACTATCAAGGCATTAAACTCATGAGCCACGCTAAGAAATTTAGGGAGAGAATAATTGAACAAAGATTACAACAAGTGTATCAAAGAACCAATTTGGCTTTATGCCAAGGAGATCAACCATGAAGATTAATCATAGAAACTTCATATGGTGTTCATTGATCTAAGAAAGGCCTATGATAAAATTCCTAGAGAGATCATATGGTGGGTCTTAGAAAAGAAAGGGGGTTCAAAATAGGTCTATAGATCGAATTAAGGATATGTATGGGGGGGGGAACCAATGTTAGAACACTAGTGGGAGAGACTTCAGATTTTACAGTTAAGATGAGTCTTCACCAGCGTTCAGCACTTAGACCTTACCTATTTGCAGTGATCATAGAATGAATTGACTAAATAGATTCAGGAAGAAGTTCCATGTAATGAAGGATTAAATGCAAAACTAAGCTTATGGACAAATGCCCCGAAAACAAGAGGTCTTAAAATAAGTAGAACTAAAACAGAGTATATGAAATGTAACTTTAATAATAATAAGAGGGTAAATCAAGACACACTTAGGATTGGAAACCAAGAGATAACTCAATATGACCATTTCTGGGCCAAGATTTCTCAGCCGAGGACATACTTAGGAATTGGGGAGTGGTGGCTGCTACAACTCTATAAAACCTATTGTGCAGGAAATGCAGTCCCCTCCAACACAACAAAGAATAAAGTTGAACTTTGATGGGAGCTCTAGAGGCAACCCAGGGCCTTCAGGTATAGGAGGAGTATTCATAGATGGAGATAGAAGAATTGTTGCTATGTTCTCTGAGCCAATAGGGGTGGGAGATTCATTGCGAGCAGAAGTGATGGCTCTACTTCAAGGTGTAAAATATGTCAAGAAATTGGGATTACACCAAGTGGAGATAAAAGGAGATTCTAAATTGTTAATGGACTGGCTGCAATCAGGCAAGTTGGGAGCATGGATGTATCAACAGCCCATACGGGAAATTCTCAAATATAACAAGGGAGCTTGATGCAGGCTTCAAGTGGAAAAGAAGATCAGCTAATGGTTTGGCGGATACCTTAGCCAAACAAGGGACAGTGAGGGAAAGTTTGTTCTGGGCAGTTCGGTAATTCAAATTACTTGGGCCCAACTCCTATCTTAGGGGTTGACAATTGTATCTTAATTTTACAGTAATGAAGTTACCATTTCCAATCAAAAAAAATGTGACCATTTCTGGTACCTTGGTTCAATAATTCATAACAAGGAAGAGATTGAGGAGGATGTCACTCAAATAAATAGAGCAAGTTGGGAAAAATGGAGGGGTGCATCTGGACCTTTGTGTGATAGGAGAATACCACTTACATTAAAAGGAAATTTCTATAAAACGGTTGTAAGGCCGGCTATGTTGTATGGAGTAGAGTGTTGGGCAATCAAGAAACATGTTAAGAAAATAAGTGTGGCAGAAATGTGAAAGCTAAGATGGGTGAGTGGAAAAACTATAAAGGATAGGATCGTTAATAAAGCCATCTGGAGAAACCTAGGAGTAGCTCCAATAAGTGATAAAATAAGAGAGAATAGGCTAAGATGGTTTGGTCCACAATTGTTAAGCAAGGCATCGCTAAGGAACCCACCTAGGTGACTAGGCGCCCTTGGTTGGGCACCTCACCCAAGCACCTTGACTTTTAGCAACTAGGCACCCACCTAGGCGACAAAAATGACAAGGCAGGTGCCTTTTATAATATCATTTATATTGTTGTATCTTATTAATGTATATGTTAATACATTTTATTATATGCTATATATATCAATTGTACTTTTCTTTAATGTTTTACTATTGAAATTTAAAAGATCAAAGGGTTTTGAGGAGAGAAAAAGAAAGAGGAAAGAAAAGTAAAATTATAAAGAGGTTCTGTTTTTTTTCTATTCCCTCTCTAATTAAATAAAACAGAAACTCCATCCTTGTTATTTTCTATTTTACTTTCCATCTTGAATATTTGTCATATAAAGCTTTTCTTTAGCTACTAACTGATACGAAATTTCTCTATTAAATCCTTATTGTAGTAGTCTTGTTTTTGAAAATAATGAAACTAATATATGCAAAATATTTTTATCTTTTAGATATGATGATTTGCCACGAAATTTAATTTTCTTAATAAAGAGAATTGCTATTTTTTTAATTAATATACATGTTGAATGGTATATAAAACTAGGGAACTAGCCATAAGTTAGATTTTTGTATTATAAAATTTTTATCGCCTAGGCAACTAGGCGCCCCAATGTCACCTAGAATTGCCTAAACACCTTGAAAACTATGGTTTGGTCACGTGCATTGAAGACCACCAACAACTCTAGTTAGAAGAAGTGATTTGTTACAAGTGGAAGGGGATAGAAGAGATAGGAGTAGACCAAATAGGACATGGGTAGTAGTAAGAAATGATTTAAGCACTAATAATTTAACAGTGGATATGGTTTTAAACAGTGATTTAAAAGGCGTGCCTTAGACGAGGCGCATTTTGGGGTATGTGCCTCGCCCAAGTCCTAGGTGCACCCCTTTCAAAAGGCACACGCCTAGGCATGCGCCTTGCACCTCAGCCTAGGCGTGCGCCTTTTTAAAATTTTGCGCTTTTTGCTTTTTTTTTTTAGTTTAACGGCTGGGTACAAGGGCGAATACATAGACTTGTTCGGGCTTGGCTCGAGGGGCATGATACAAAGGCGACTCATAGAATCAAGAATGCAATATGTTTTACATCACATTAGCTACTTGAAGCAATGCAATTAAGGGAAAAAAGAGATTGTGGGTTTTACATGCTTGAAAATGCTTTATGTGTTTGCTTTTATTTTTAAATTTTCATTTGAATACACTTTACATGTTATGTTTATGTAATTTAATTTAGATAATAGGTTTTTCAAAACATTTATTTTAAATTTTAAGTTTATATTT